AAATGTGAGCACAATTTTTCCTTGGTCTCCACATTCTGTGACTGAGCAAAGAAACTGGCATGCACTTGGGGCACGGATCCATAATAAATCTTATCAGCCACAATTCACAGGAGTTAATTTAAATAGTATTTATTAATACCAGGTATGCATTCTCCAATTGCTAAAGCAAGTTGGAAGTTTTGTCTTTGCAAAATTACAAGGTAAACTTTCTACCACGAGGGGTTCTTCATGGAACCAAACTGTTAGTATTGTTGCACAACCTATTTTCAGTTTTGATTTCCCAGCCATCTGTTTTGACCTGAATACATTTTTAACGGGAACATCACACGCTAAGGTAGTTATTTGTGGGCAAAATTGTCCTGAGTAAAGGAGAGTCTGAACTCTGACTCTAATTGAAGTTATGGGTGTAAATCAGCTACATTTTCCCATAATGTATGACATTTAGGTTAGTTCTTATTTTCTTGGGCTTACAGAACTGTTATTTAGTTCATCTTAGAAGTAACATGCAGCACACATAGGAAGCCTTTGATATTGGACACATTCATTCAGGGACCAGGCCTGTCTATCTTTCCTTTCATCTGCAATCACCATGGTTCCTGTATCTCCACATTTCCTGACTCAGGTCTGATAACATCTCCAATTCACCGTTACACTAATCTGGTTTGCATGTATCAGGTAATTGATTTCACCTTCTACAATTGCTGAGTCACAATACTGTAATCAGACTCTTTTTTGCTTTACCACACAGCGGAAATAGACAAATCATTTCAGCACTTCTACTCAAAACTGCCTCTGTGTAAGCTGAATGTAGGTCACAAAAGATAGGTCTGTGCTGAGCTGTGCCACAATTTCCAGGCACTGTATCTCCTGCTTGCTAGATTTACCTTGAGTCTGAAACAAGCCTTTTTTTCCTCCCACTATTTTAATAAAAATTTGTCAATAAAATAAAATATTTTGGGCTGAACATTTGAATAGTATACATGAAACTCCTTCACAGACCTCACTGTGTGATAAGGCTAGTAGGAGAGGAGCATCAGGTGGGAAGAAATATTATCCTATTTAATCTTCAAACTAAAATTTAGTTCATCTGAAAGAACACGAGCTCAGAGCTGAACAGGTTTGCTCAACAAGGTATTAAGATTAGGTCATACATAGGTTATCGTAACTCCAAAGTCAGTGGTTTCCAAGGTGCCTGAATATCAGAACCATCTGGAAGGTCATTCATACAGAATCTTAGGCCTATCTCTGGAGCAGGTCTGTAGATTTATCGTAGATGGTCCTCTGTAAGTCCATAAGCTGTTATCTGCTCACAAAATTATTAAATATTTAACAATGGGGTTGTAACTAGCTCTAGCATACTGCTAGTTATAGAAAATATGGAACAATCAAAACATTTCCCATCGTAGTCTAAATCTCCCATTGTGTGGTTTGAATTGGTATGAACTCCCTAGAAATCACTCTACCTATTGGACTCAGGGTCTGACTCCCAAAGATAGCTCAGGGTCCCCCAACTACTCATTTCTCAGTTTCCAAGGAAATGTTCTGACAGAAGCCTGGGGCATCATAAGGCCATGTGTTAGACATGGATGAGCTCTTGGAAGGGCAGCTTCTTGCTCTTACTTGCTGTGTGATAAGGCTAGTAGGATGGGGGGAGCACCAGATGGGAAGAAATATGGTGTGACTTAAGGAAATTTCATTCTGAAAGTGAGAATAAAGGATGGGTCTCTCTGTGTCTCTACTCACCATAGGAATAAAGGCACATTTAGATGTGGTCAAAGTCAGCACTATCATGCAAATCAGCACAGAGCTGAAGAGACCACTGGCCTGCTTTTAATCAGAAAGGTAAACTGGAGGGGCAAGCTGTGACCAGGTTGGTGGGGGAGGGGCAGCCCTAGATGTCCAATAGCAGAGACTGTGCAGCTGCCTAAAATCACTTTGGGAAATGGAATGACCACGGCAGTTTCACAAATACTAGGCCCTAAGTACTCAGCCTAGCACATGGAAAAGCACCCAGACCAAATATAAATGAGTCTATGATCACCTACCATTCTAGATTATATCTCCCTTTGGCAAACTTCCAGAAGTCAAGATAAATACTTTTTAAAACTGTAATATGTCTACTACATGCATATATAACCAGAGCAAAGGCACATAATGTAGCCTAAGCTCCTTGGGAAAGCCAGCCTCAACACAGGTCTACAAGGATGACATGCTTTGCATGTGAACTCTTCATTCTAGTTGAATTTATTTATACAGTTCAGTGCCCACATTCTCTGTTTCCCTGACTAGAAATGTAGATATTTTATCTTCCAAGAATGCAAAGAGAAAACTTGTCTCCTAAATGAATCAACCAAAGATAACTGGTTCACAGTAGATGTTAAATTTTAGTATAACACTTCAGAGCAGGTAGTGTACATGGAGTTAAAGTAAGACCTAGATTTAATTCACTAGCTAATGAGGTCTTGGGCCAAGTCAGTGAATCTATTTTCTTACCTATAAAATGAAGATAATTTTGTTTACACTGCATAACATTTCCTACCAATGTGCCAAGCATATGTATCATGTTCTTAATCCTTCTCATTCTTCAAGGATTCTTAACTTGGAATTCAGATTCCCATAGAGACCCAGAGTTAATAACAAAAGTCAACATGGAATTCCTCTCATGTAAATATCTGTGTATTTGTATATGGGTTCTCAAAGCAGGAAAATACGGAGAATGCCAGCTACTGGAGTGAAGATGGACTGGAGAAGAGGGGTTAGGTATGCGTGCTGTGGAAAAACCTTTCACAGTGATTTTAATGTTCACTCCTGAGTCTGGAATGTGAGATATCAATTTAGACAAAAATACCAAGCCAACAGTTTAAATACCATTTAGATATACCGTGCCTATAATACACAGTTCAAAAAGCTATACTAACTATAAATAAAGGCTGGATTTGCTACATGTTCCAAGGACAGCAGGAAGCATGTCTACACAAGGATTCACCATGTAGGCGGCAGCTTTGTTCAATATGGTCCCAAACTGCAAGCAACCCGAAAGCCTGCCAGTAGGTGAGTAAACGGAAAGGGAAACAAGCATACCCGAAGCATGAATGACTGTCAAAAGTATGTGAAAGCTGCACATAAAGGATTTCATTTACATGAACATTTTCTGAACTCTGATTACTGATAGAAAGCAGATTAGCCACTGCCTTGGGGACCAGGGGTAGAAGGAGCAGACTGACTGCAGAGGGGAGTGAGTAAAGTTTTAGGATGACAGAGATGTATCTTGTGCTACTTTCATAGATAACGCTTTAATTTTTTTTAACAATAGCACCTTATTAATTATGAATGTCTAAATAAAATTGATTTTAAAAATTAATTACCATACATAGCTCCTAAATACTAACAAATTCCATGGGACAGTTCCCATGTAACTAAGACCACACACTCATCAATTCAAATTCATGCCCTTCAAGAAGCTCTTCTAGTGAAGTCATAAAACAGTAATGACTCTTAACACTAATATTTCCCTGGAGCTATTGAATTAGAGTTTTTAAGATGGAGGTAGTCAATAATATAATGCAGAGCTAAATTGTTTCACAAAGACAGTAGTGTCATGTCTAGGCCCACAAGAACCATGTCTAATCCAATTGATACCTAGTAGATCAAGTTCACACAGCCTGATTCACTGCAGTGGGTGTACCCAAATATCACAGTCTGTACTAACTACAGATCGGTGCTCAGCCATTGAAAACTTTCCTAGCCAACAAAATGAATCAACCTTTAAGGAGGAAGAAAATGATCACCTCTGAACTTTTAGAGACAACACGTTCCAAACTTATGCCTCAGAACACATTTATTTATACAGAAGACAATTTGTACACTAAAATCTGGGCATTCCCTAATTTTATTTCTATATTTAGTGCCTCAGTAAATTTTTATGATTAAATTCTTTAAAATTCAGTGGGATGTAGGCAATCATTATCCACAACTTAAAGATCTTTAACAGTTTTATTGCAAACTACTGATTTACAAAAGTACTTTCCACCAATTAAGCCCTTTAGAACAGACTACTCATTTCCTAACCAACAAGCATTAATCTTCTGTGTATTCAACCTTCACTACTCAGTTGTCAGTTTTGTCACTGTGACAAACTACCTGAGAAAACCAACTTTAAAGAGGAAAGATTGGCTTTGGCTCACAGTTTAAATCCATAGTAGGCTGGCTCCACTGCTTTGCGCCCAGAGCAAGGCAGAACATCATGGAGGGGTATGCATGGTAGAGTAAGGAGCTCACCTCACAGTAGCCAGGAAGCTCAGAATGTGAAAGCCAGGGGCTAGGACAAAATATATCTTTCAAAGGCACACCCCCAGTGACCTACTTCCTCCAACCAGTCCCTACCTCCTGAAGTCTCCACCATTTCCCAACAGTGTTATCATCAGCTGGGACCAAACTTCCAACACATGACAGGGGACAGGTCATTTAAGATCCAAACCTTTGCTGCGCAAGATGGCGCATGCCTATAATCCCAAAACTCAGAAGACAGAGATAGGAGGATGATGAGTTTGAGGCCAGCCTGGACTACATACTACATTCTAAACCAGCTGAGACAGTGAGATCCTGTTGGTTAAAAACAGGAGCAGGGGGAGGGGAAGGGGGAAGGGAGAGGAAGGGAGAG